CCCCAAAACCCCAAAACCCCAAAACCCCAAAACCCCGGCTTATAAAATACTCAGCGTGATAATGAGTTTATAAAATAAATTAAAGTAGATTTCAGAGATTGATTAATAAGATTGGTAGTTGCTAAGATGATTAGCTCCTGTGGTTTGAATTGCTGTGAGAGGAATTATATTTAACAAATGTAACCCCAAAAAAGAAGATCTGTGTGTTTCTAAATGATGCAAGTTAATTCAAAAGGGTGGAATAAAATGAGGAATAATACAACCATTAAAAATTTTATTTAAGAGAATATATATTAGGTAGATCTTACTGAATTCTTCAACATTTTTCTAATAACTTCATAAATTATAGAAATTAATTATCTCAAACAACTGCTATGGGATGATGCTTGATAATTTTCTTATCTCTTTCGTTAAGAGTCCAAACGAAATTATTTCCAAGATAGAAGACATCATCTCCTTATCTGTAAAAGCAGCCAGTATTAGGGAAAGCATCCGCATCCTCTAGTTCGATTCTAGAATTTTTACTATAGCTATGTAAACCTCTTTCTTCGTTATCTATCTTGAGTATAGCTCCTGCTTTCTGAGCATCTCCGTACTCATCAACACCTCCAAATATAACAATCTCTTAGTTGTTATGAATGATAGCACATCCTATATTCATCAGAGGCTAGGGAAGTTAAAGATTTATAACTTGCCATTGAGTATTGAGATCCTTAATAGGATCAATTACATTGTTCATCCTAACTCTTTCAATAGTATCAATTGGTTAGCCTTCTTCATTAATTCCACCAAATGCATAAACCCATTTAAGATTTTCACTAAGTAAGGTAGAATGAGAAGCCCTAGGAACATTCAAATGAGGGAAAAGTGTCCAATAATTATCATTAACATTGAAGATTTCACAATCAGATATTATCCTTCTACCAGCTCCGAATCCTCCAGTAGCAAAGACATAATCTTTACCTTTGCCCAAGAAAACAGAAGAGAAACTAACTCTTTATTTCCTCATTACAGCTTAAGAAGAGGTCTTCCACGGACCACCATTTGAGTTACTCAAAAGATAGCAAGTTTTCTTGATGATTGTGTGTCTTGCATATTCCATTTGAGATTGCCCACCGATCACCAACACATTAGACTCATCAATAGACATGAGCTTTGGGATATAAAGATCTTTCAACTTTTATATTTCTTAAACTTGTCTGTTGATTAGATCTACCTGTAATACTACATTTTCTCTTACTGTGAATCCAGATTTTTATTCAAAGATAGTCTTTTTAACTTGAGATAGATCTGTCTTTAACTTTAGATCCAGTTGGACTGGTTGATTGTCAACTCTTAAGCATTTATTGAAAATTTATACTAGCAGCTATGAAATTGCATCATCATCTGGTACGAAAGAAATCAAATCTTAGAATGAGGTGCTGCTTTTGTTTATATCACCCCTAAGTTGAGAATTGAAATTTCTCATTGCTTCGATCAGAGCCTTATAAAAGTGAGATTTCATGACAATAAAGGAAAACTTTGAAGAGTTGACTTTCTCATCAAGGCCCTTCTTTTCTTCTTCAATAAGCTCTCTGAGAGAGTCATCGCACTCTTCATTAAGCTCTTATATAAATTAGGCCAAATTTCTGAGAGCATCAGAGTCCTTAACCTTTTTGAAGATTTCACTCTCAATCTCATCAAGCTTCTTTCTAAGCATAAAGAAGAATTAGGAAATCTGGTTTCTTATGTTTGAAATAATCATTTGAGGGGAAAGTTCTTCAACACTCTTTAGATGCTAGTTTAGCTGATAGTATTCAATGTCAAATTCATCTTTGATTTCTCTTGCAGACCAAGATACGAATTTAGGGTCCTTGTAAGTACCTTCGAAAACACATCTCTCACAGCCGAAGTGTCTACTCTCAAAGTCAAAGGCCACCAAATGCTCATTCTTATGATTTTGGCAGAACTCATGCTCTTCCATGTTTTGAGCAGCCTTTGAAATTACTGAGTTGAGAAATTTATTCATTAATCCATTTTTGCCGATTAATCCATATCCTCTAGTTACTAAAACATTTCTCAGTTTCTCAGCATTAACCATGTAAGGCTAAACAAAGTATTGCTGGTTATCGGCGTCAATAAGACTAGAAAGTTCGTTTGCAACTTCTTAGTGTCTTTGAAGGTCTTTTTAGACGGTATCTATAAGTACCATATCTACGTCTACTTAACTCATAGCTTAGATTTTATATTAATTAGTCAGAAAATTGAATGTTTATTTCAAGTTAAAATTTTATTTATATAGCCTTGTGGGGTTTTGGGGTTTTGGGGTTTTGGGG